TTACTAAGAACACTTAATTTAAATTATTTAGCTCGATGCTTATAAATTCATTATTAGTAGTGCTTATTATTTCTTATAATATATTTTATGACTTTTGGTCTATACTAGTTAAAGTTGAACGTGCAATGTACGTTATTCTAAAATTCTTTATAAGTACTGTAAAAGTCATAATCGATACCAATTTGTTGGGAGAGTTTAATGAATTTCAAACGAACTAAAGAAAATAAAATTTAGAATACAAATTTAAGAGAAGAAAATAGTACTCTCAAAATTCAACTTCTATGATTTAATTTTTTTGTGATGATAAAATACTACAAGTGAGCAATCTTTTTATACTACATTTGGTACATAAGAATTAATTGTTAATAATGAATTTAAAAACCTATTAAAATTTCTAGTTACATGAATGAAAATAAATTTATCTATAATAACTCTAAATTTATGCAGGTCAAGATTTTTCAAGTCAAAATTTATTGATGAATGTTAATTAATTGAGAATTAATAATACAAAATTCATACATGATAAGGATTTTGTAGTATTTATTACATATTGAAAAATGAAAAGTAAGGTATTATTGAAATAAATGAATTGTAGCATCTAACCATTATGATATTCACTTTTTCCAAAAATAAAACAAACTTTGCTTGACAATGAAACTAGAAAAATTATTCCATTGGATGTTGAGATTTTTCCTTATCTTTTATTGTGGAAATTGTGGAAGTTTTTCCACAAATGGAGCTTTCATATTCAAATAATCCAAAAGATATAATTAATTTTTGGAGACTTCATTGTTCACCAATACTTTCCCACTTTCTAGTAGAATGCTGAGATTTTCTTGAGAAAATAAAAATAGGATAAAGTGTGCATAACTTCAGTGTAAATCTTAGCCAGTCTTATGAAATATGGCCTGAATTTCCGTTTCCAGAAGATTTTTATTTTTATTTTTATTTTTGGATATCCAATAAAGGTTTTTGTGGTTACTAAGAACACTTAATTTAACTTATTTGGCTTGATGCTTATAAATTCATTATTAGAAGTGCTTAATATCTCTTATAAGATATTTTACAACTTTTGGTCTATAGTAGTCAAAGTTGAACGTGCATTACATGTTATTCTGAAATACTTTATAAGTATTGTAAAAGTAATATTTGATATCAATTTGTTGAGAGGATTTGATGAGTCTTCAAAGAAGTAAAAAAAAAAAATTAGGATATGAATTTAAAAGAAGAAAATTATACTCTCAAAACTCAATTTATATGATNTAATATTTGATATCAATTTGTTAGGAGGATTTGATGAGTCTCAAAAAAATTAAAGAAAATAAAATTTAGGATAAAAATTTAAGGGAAGAAAATTGTTTTCTCAAAACTCAACTTCTATAATTTAATTTTTTTGTGATGATGAAATACTACAAATGAGCAACATTTTTACTCTATATTTGATACATAAGAATTCATTGTTAATAAATGAATTTAAACACATACTAAAATTTCTAGATACATGAATTCATTTTAATAACTCTAGATTTATGTTGGTCAAGATTCATCAAATCAAGATTCATTGAGTCTAAATTAATATGAATACTAATTGATTCAGAATTAATAACACGAAATTTATATATGATAAGGATTTTGTAATATTTATTACATATTAAAAAACAAAAAATAAGGTATTATAGAAAAAATTGAACTGTAGTATCATTAAAATCGTCAAAAAAATTATTCTTAATTAATGTGATATTTTAATATATTATAAATATGAAAACAATGAGGATACTTATATGGAGAAATTGCTGCAACCAATGTCCCGAAAGTAGCCTCCATCCTCGAGTAGAATTGTGGGCTCTTCGAAATATAAGTGGGCGTGAATGTAGCTTCTACGACTGTATCAACTGAAGCTCTCTTTGTCCATGTACAATGAAGCAAAGCATATGAGATCCAGTGCTAGATGTTGTATATTTCGTTATCAATCTAGCATTAGACTCGTTTATTTTCTCTACTTGTAATTTTAGTCGTATTTTTTGCTTTTTTTTTTTTTTTTTGTTCTCGTAGTATAAAATAATGTCTCATTGTGTCTGCTGGCTCAATTCGAAAAATACATCAACTTTTGTGTCCTTGCTCACCCAATTGTCTTAACAAAAGACTGAAAATGAAATTAAAAAAATCGGTATTCGGGGTTTGGTTCCACTTTTATAACAACAAAGGATTATAGAAAACACATTAAAACGACAAAATGCAATAAAGCACATGTTGGCTCAGTAAGTGTTTATCAAATCACTTAGGAAAATTATCAGCCACTATCACCGATGATTGAGTATATTTATTACTAACAGTGATTATTTCTTATAACTAGTGGAAAAAAACAACTATAAATGTAAATTTATACAATACATTTGTGCAAAATCAGTTACAATAAATAAATAAAATTCTTTATTGCAAAATCAGTCAGAACTATAAATGGAAATGTAGGGACGATATTTAAGTTGTGTTGCCTTCGCAGAGTCTGTTCCATGTTTTCATTCACCATTTTTCGCTGAATGTTCGGTTTGTGTTGTCACCAACAACATTCCTACGACGTTTAGTTCAGTAATCGCCGGTAAATTTCCGTAAACAATAATTCCCAAAAATTAGTATGTAACTTTTAAATAACTATCAAATTTATTTCACTGGTAATGGAGATTTGCATATTAGTGATACCGCATTTAATTACTATCCTCAAATCGTTCATTTAGGTGTTCTCTCTGATTTTCCCAAATTGCTTATGACCACATACAACTTTACGAGACACCGTTATTTATAAACATAAGCCTAAAATAAGCTTGAAAATCAATAAATAAATGTTTAATTTTTTAATTTTCTTTTTCTGTATTTCAACATCGGCTTTCATAAACTGTACAATATGAATTTTGCCGACAGCATAAAAAATATGCAGCTTTCGTTCTCCATCCCAACATCAAGTTATCCGTATATGGCACATTTATAATTTTAAGATGGATGCCGGGTCACATCAAGTCAATAGTCATTGCAAAATTTCAAATACTCAGCCCAGCAAACGCTTGTCCTGAAATGCATGTAGGTTTGGTCAAGTAAGATGTTCGCTAGGTGTGAGAAAGCCATGATTTGCAATAACTGTAACATAAGGAGCCTAGGGTGTGGCCAGGTTTGTAATAGCAAGACAGCCAGAGAATTTAGTTTACAGGTCACAGCTCACAAACAACAGAAGACAAAACCACAGGATAAGATTGATTCCAGATTTAACTATTACATCTAAAAAGCAAGATGATAAAAATACCAAATTGCTAATGTATAAAAATAAAAAATAAAATCTATAGATGAAATTCTTTACAGCACTTACCCGCAGATGGCATGGCCTACTTCATGGTATGCTACGAGACTTTTGCTTTTGCCATCTGTCATAACTGTCCCTTCCATTCCGGCTACTATCCTATCAATTGAATCATCAATTTCTTTAGATGAGATTGTGGGCTTTCTACGTCGACCTGCCAGAATAGCAGCCTCATTTAAGAGATTAGCAAGATCTGCTCCTCTAAATCCAGGTGTCCTCATGGCTATCACTTCAAGAGATACATCAGAATCAAACTTCTTATTACCAGCATGGACCTTTAAGATCTCTGTTCTTCCACGAGTATCTGGGACATCAACAGTTACCTGTACGAAGATTCAAAAATGCATAAGCATAGGAACATTAAAATTAGAGTCAGACATAAAATGTATCTTTACCTGTCTATCAAATCTTCCAGGTCTCAACAATGCAGAGTCAAGAATATCAGCACGGGTTAGTTGCTGCAATTACAATAATACCAGTGTTCCCTTCAAAACCATCCATTTCCGTCAAAAGCTGGTTCAGAGTCTGTTCCCTTTCATCATTTCCACCACCAGTTCCCGTTCCCCTTTGACACCGAACAGCATCAATTTCATCGACAAATACAATGCAGGGAGCATTCTCCTTGGCCTTCTTGAAAAGATCACGGACTCGTGAGGCACCAACACCAACAAACATCTCAACAAACTCCGAACCTGATATTGAAAAAAATGGAACACCTCCCCAGCAATTGCCTTGGCTAGCAACGTCTTTCCAGTACCTGGAGGACCCACGAGCAGAACTCCCTTAGGGATACGCGCACCCACAGCAGTAAACCTCTCAGGCTTTTTCAGGAACTCTACAACCTCCATAAAATCTTGCTTTGCTTCATCTACTCCAGCTACATCATCGAATGTTACACCAGTGTTTGGTTCCATCTGGAACTTAGCCTTTGATTGACCAAAGGCAAGAGGAATACCTGGCCCACCAGGACCGCCCATTCCTCCAGAGGACCGTCTTGAGAGAAGGAAAGGACCCCCATTCAAGATAAGAGGGAAGGCCAAGTTTCCAATCAAGTTAAATAAAAGAGAACCAGAGTCCTCTTGAGCATTTTGGGCTGCAAAGTCAATATTCTTTTCTCTGAACTTCTGAAGGAGCTCCTGGCTGAGTCCTGGGAGTTGTACACGAACTCTCTGCACTCAGTTACCCAACTCCGGAGAGATAGCCTCAACTATTGCTATGGTTCCTTTTCAAACAAGTCTACTTTTCTCACCCGATCCTTATCCAGATACTCCAAAAATCTCGAGTAAGACATCCTTGAGTTAGAAACACCTTGCTCATCAGCAAAAGCTTTCCCATTGCCTAGTATTGCAGGAGTGGCAAGTCCAGCATTTCCAAGCAACAATTTTAGAAAGGCTCTTCTTCCTTCATTTGGCCTTTGATCCACTGATGCTCTTACTGTGATTGTTTTTGATGTCTTAATCAATGATGGAAGGCGCGTCGATTGGAGAAACTGATTTTCATAAATTTCCTTGCTCAAACTTGTTCGAGTGCTGTTTGTAGATAAACCATTTCCCACTACACATGCCGATGTTGCAGCCATTTTAAATTCCTCTGCATAATATAAACTTTTCAAATCCATAAAAATACTCAAGGCATACATCACAAGATCATTAATTAAGCAACTTAACCACAAACTTTTGAATGTAAATACGTCCCTAAAACTATATAAAAAACAATTATCTACAGTGCATGGAAAGATATTTAGAAAAAATATATATATTTCAGAGTCTTTCATATTAATTAAGCAACTTATGGCCAACAAAAACATTCAAATCGTGGTCAAGTCGTACAATTTAGATTGAATATGAAACAAGAACGTTCACAATTATCAGATCTCCACTTTAAAATTCAAATATAAAAATTCCTCAAAGCCCCCCACCCAAAAAAAAAAATTAAAAATATAAATCATAACTATTTGTAATTTTTTTTATTTTTTTTAAAGTTAAAAGTCATTTCAAAACACTGAATTAAAAATGGTAGGAACAAGAGGATTACAGTGGGTTAAGTAATACCTTAGTAGCTCTGGTGAGACGATCTCCACTCTCATCGACGGAAATATTGAGGACGAGCTTCTGGAACATAACTTGATCTCTCCCATTCATTTGACAGCTTCTTCTCTGACACCTGCTCTCACACATTTTCACACACGGGCGCAAATACACAAATTAGCAGGGCGATTTATTGAACACAATTCTGGTCTCCTGCGCGCCGCGCGCAGGGCTATCCTGCACGCAGGAGACCAATTTTCCTTTGTGTGTCAGCCAAGGCTGACACACAAAACCTTTTTTTAATTTTTTT